TGTTGGAAATCAGAGCTAAAAAGTTGGATGAGGTTTCAGAAAGGCTCGCAATGGAGCTGGAACTGGATGAGTGGGAAAATTTGACAAAGAAAGGTATGAGCTACATTTTATGCAAGGTATTGTTGGTTTACAATGGACATGGCACTGCAGAGCAAGCAACAGAACTTTAAAACTTGTGACGTTGCAAAGGATATGGTTCTCGTTTAACAAAATTTCACTCTAACTTTTTTACCAATGACTTGGGCCATGCTGTTCTTCCACCAGTAGATTGTTTTTCTTTGTCTTGTGTGTAAACATGTAAAACAAAATTTTTTGCTAGAACTGGAGCCACCCTTTTTCTGCAGGGGACCCACCATTAGTCGCTTGGCATAAGAAAACTTAGCACAACTTGTGTATGTTTACAGAAATTTGTGTACAGAATTTGGTACTTCATATTTTTAATTTGAATAAATAAGTAAATGAAATGTTTGTCATACAAATGTGACCAGTGTTGTAAGTTTTCCTGCAACTAAATGGTATCAGTATGTAAAGTCAAGTTAGAAGTTGCTGAGAATATACAAATAAATTTGTATTTCTTGTTTTCATAGAATTAATTCCAGTGGCTGTGAAAGTTCGTCATCCTAGGATGGAGGCACTTTTGAGGCAAGTTCTGGTAACAGATCACATTATTTAACCATGATGGCAAAATAAGTGCAGCCTCATATATCATATATGAGTGATCTATGGGTGGTTATGACAGTCTGAGGTGCCATTTCCTGTAGAAGATGCTGTAGTATTGGTGGAATGCCACCTAAACACAAAGCTAGAAACTGTTATTCAAGTCCGTCTTCATCATCCAGTGTATTAGAATATAACCACATGGGGAATTTGATGACCTGAGTTTAATAAAAGGCAAATAATTTCTTGATCATTTGAGCCATTGTCATGTTCTCAGGGACTCTGCTGCATAGAATGAAATGATTTAGCAGAATACTTCTGTTTAGGTTAGTTGGTTTGTAATGCTCCCAGGGTAGTCTTTCCTAGCTTCTGTTGACTAGACAAATCTAGAGTCTATTTGTCTATTTTTGTGGTGGGGGTGCCCTTAGGGCAGATTCTGTTATCCCAGGGAACCTTCATTTGAAGGTGGGCTTGGCATACTCCACTTACCAAATTTTTTGTCATTGGCAGAAGTGAATGCTCGAGTCTTTGAGCAGAAAAATGCATGCACGTCTGATTGGGAATTGAATCAGAAATCCTCTAAACAAAGTCCATTATCTTACCCCAAGACCACCAGATCCTAGAATTCTATAGTTATCTTCATCAGAGAAAATTATAATGAACATAATTAAGCATTGAGAAAGATGGGGAGTAGGTTAAAAGTATCAAATTTAATTTTACTTACTGCAGCTTGAATTAGGAGAAACAATTACATGCATGTCCCATCTCTGCATGATGAATTTTCCTTTTGTTATAATGTTTTGTCTCAGAAGTAAAATTTAATGATGTTTTCTTTTTATGCTAAGGCGAGATCTCTTCATTATGAAAGTTGTGGCATCAGCAGTTACCTGGATTTTGCCAAGTTTGAAATGGCTCAGTCTTGTAGACTGTGTACAAGACTTCAAACAATTGATGGAAGCACAGGTTTGTTTTTATTTCTAAAATATTTAAAATGATAAGTGAAGCTTCACTTTTGAGATGCAGATGTGTCTTGGGTAATTTTTAGTGCAAATGTTGTGTAATGATTACATTGTTAATTGTAGTGTAACAAATTAAGAATTAAATGATTTTACTATTCATAATCACTCTTGTAATATTAGAAGCTACCATACACACAAGTATTTAAAGCAAGCATAAGTGAGGCCGAACATGCATGTACAATGAATTTAAAATTTTTACAGGTGGATTTTTGCGTAGAGGCCCACAACCTTAAGCACTTTGCTGAAAACTTTGATGGTGTGGAGTCGGTGAGGTTTCCGAAACCACTGTGTTCTCTTGTAAGACCGCATGTTCTGGTGGAAACATATGAGGAGGGTGAACCTCTGCAGCATTATGTAACAGGAAGATCCTCCAGTCTGGTTAATGCCAGGTTAGCTGAGCTTGGCATCAATACAGTATTTAAAATGGTAAGCTGAGATACCAATATAATGAAGTGATTTGAAGGAAGCTCCATGCAGTCTGTACTTTGGTCATGAGATTTTACCGGTAGCTTACTTGTAAGTTTCAGAATGGGTTTCCGTGGGTCAAAATTTATTTTCTTCTTCATGTATTGCAGAAAAGCTGTCTTTTTGAAAGCTGGACATTGTTTTGACATTTTGCCTGAAAAAGTGGCTATCATTAGTTAATTACACAAAAAAGGAATAAAATATTAATGGCATCTTGCTTCACATAAATCCCATTATTACTGTTGCCAGTGTGGTATAACACGGTTCCATGACAAAACCGCACACGAAAATTGCACACAGAAAGAAGCTCACTGTCATAAATGCTCACACAAAAATGCTCACACTGACAAATGCACACACTGATAAATGCTCACATGTACGAATGCTCACATGGACGAATGCCCATATTCACAATACTATAAGTAATCGGAAGCGTTAACTGGTTACCGTAGTAAACCGACGTTTCGGAATCAAATTCAATAAAATCTTCTCGGGCAATCAGCCGCGTTAACGTGGCTGATTGCCCCAAAATATGTTATTGATGCAGTATTATTATTGACATGACCAAAGAATATGTTTATG